AACAAAGACCTACGTTTCCTGACCGGTAAAACTGAACGTTTTTTTAAACGTTCTGAGAAAGGAAGTGAACATTTCACCTGTTCTGGGAACATTCATTTTTAGGTGTCACGCCCTGGCTCTGGGGACTCTTGTATGTTGAGCCAGGGTGTTAGTTTCTTTGTGTAGTGTCTATGTTTCGTTTTCTATGTTCTGTTCTAGGTTATGTGTTTCTATGTTGGCCGGGGTGGTTCTCAATTAGAGGCAACGAGAATCAGCTGTTGCTTGTTGTCTCTGATTGGGAACCATACTTATGGAGCCTTTTGTGCACTTGTGATTCGTGGGATCTTGTTCCGTGTAGGTTTGGTTATTGACCGAGGACTTCACGTATCGTTTGTTGTTTTTGTTGTATTTGAAAAGTACCTATTAAAGTATGTACTCATATCACGCTGCGCCTTGGTCCACTTTTCATGATGAGCGTGACAGAAGATCCCACCAAAACAGGACCAAGCAGCGTGTCCAGGAGCAGACAGAAATTGGTGGAGTGGTTGAAATACGAGTTTTAATGACTCCAACCTAAGTGTATGTAAACTTCCGACTTCAACTGTATGCTGAGCACTCGTTGACTGCTTTTCCTTCACTCTGCCGTCTGACTCATCCCAAACCAGCTCAATTGGGTTGAGGTCGGGGGATTGTGGAAGCCAGGTCATCTGATGCAGCACTCCATCACTCTCCTTCTTGGTAAAATAGCCCTTACACAGCAAATGATAGTCCCACTAAGCCCAAACCAGATGGTATGGCGTATCGCTGCAGAATGCTGTGGTAGCCATGATGGTTAAGTGTGCCTTGAATTCTAAATAAATCACAGACAGTGTCGCCAGCAAAACACCCCCACACCATAACACCACCTCCTCCATGCTTTACGGTGGGAACTACACATGCGGAGATCATCCGTTCACCCACACCGCGTCTCACAAAGACACGGCGGTTGGAACTAAAAATCTCCAATTTGGACTCCAGCTCATTGCTCGTGTTTCTTGGCCCAAGCAGGTCTCTTATTATTATTGGTGTCCTTTAGTAATGGTTTCTTTGCAGCAATCCAACCATGAAGGCCAGATTCACACAGTCCCTTCTGAACAGTTTATGTTGAGACGTGTCTGTGACTTGAACTCTGTGAAGCATTTATTTGGGCTGCAATTTCTGAGGCTGGTAACTCTAATGAACTTATCCTCTGCAGAAGAGGTAACTCTGGGTCTTCCATTCCTGTGGCGGTCCTCATGAGAGCACGTTTTATCATAGCGCTTGATGTTTTTTGCGGCTGTACTTGAAAACGTTCAAAGTTCTTGAAATGTCCCTATTGACTGACCTTCATGTCTTAAAGTAATGATGGACTGTTGTTTCTCTTTGCTTATTTGAGCTGTTCTTGCCATAATATGGACTTGGTCTTTTACCAAATAGGGTTATCTTCTGTACACCCCCCCCCCCCCCTACCTTATCACAACACAACTGATTGGCTCAAACACATTCCACAAATTAACTTTTAAGAAGGCACACCTGTTAATTGAAATGCATTCCAGGTGACTACCTCATGAAGCTGGTTGAGAGAATGCAGAGAGTGTGCAAAGCTCTCATCAAGTCAAAGGGTGGCTATTTGAAGAAGCTCAAATATACAGTGAGGGAAAAAAGTATTTAGTCAGCCAACAATTGTGCAAGTTCTCCCACTTAAAAAGATGAGAGAGGCCTGTAATTTATCATAGGTACACGTCAACTATGACAGACAAATTGAGGGCAAAAAATCCAGAAAATCACATTGTAGGATTTTTAATGAATTTATTTGCAAATTATGGTGGAAAATAAGTATTTGGTAACCTACAAACAAGCAAGATTTCTGGCTCTCACAGACCTGTAACTTCTTCTTTAAGAGGCTCCCCTGTCCTCCACTCGTTACCTGTATTAATGGCACCTGTTTGAACTTGTTATCAGTATAAAAGACACCTGTCCACAACCTCAAACAGTCACACTCCAAACTCCACTATGGCCAAGACCAAAGAGCTGTCAAAGGAACCAGAAACAAAATTGTAGACCTGCACCAGGCTGGGAAGACTGAATCTGCAATAGATAAGCAGCTTGGTTTGAAGAAATCAACTGTGGGGGCAATTATTATGAAATGGAAGACATACAAGACCACTGATAATCTCCCTCGATCTGGGGCTCCACGCAAGATCTCACCCCGTGGGGTCAAAATGATCACAAGAACGGTGAGCAAAAATCCCAGAACCACACGGGGGGACCTAGTGAATGACCTGCAGAGAGCTGGGACCAAAGTAACAAAGCCTACCATCAGTAACACACTACGCCGCCAGAGACTCAAATCCTGCAGTGCCAGACGTGTCCCCCTGCTTAAGCCAGTACATGTCCAGGCCCGTCTGAAGTTTGCTAGAGTGCATTTGGATGATCCAGAAGAGGATTGGGAGAATGTCATATGGTCAGATGAAACCAAAATAGAACTTTTTGGTAAAAACTCAACTTGTCGTGTTTGGAGGACAAAGAATGCTGAGTTGCATCCAAAGAACAGCATACCTACTGTGAAGCATGGGGGTGGAAACATCATGCTTTGGGACTGTTTTTCTGCAAAGGGACCAGGACGACTGATCCATGTAAAGGAAAGAATGAATGGGGCCATGTATCGTGAGATTTTGAGTGAAAACCTCCTTCCATCAGCAAGGGCATTGAAGATGAAACGTGGCTGGGTCTTTCAGCATGACAATGATCCCAAACACACCGCCTGGGCAACGAAGGAGTGGCTTCGTAAGAAGCATTTCAAGGTCCTGGAGAAGCTTAGCCAGTCTCCAGATCTCAACCCCATAGAAAATCTTTGGAGGGAGTTGAAAGTCTGTGTTGCCCAGCGACAGCCCCAAAACATCACTGCTCTAGAGGAGATCTGCATGGAGGAATGGGCCAAAATACCAGCAACAGTGTGTGAAAACCTTGTGAAGACTTACAGAAAACGTTTGACCTGTGTCATTGCCAACAAAGGGTATATAACAAAGTATTGAGAAACTTTTGTTATTGACCAAATACTTATTTTCCACCATAATTTGCAAATAAATTCTACAATGTGATTTACTGGATATTTTTTTCTCATTTTGTCTGTCATAGTTGACGTGTACCTATGATGAAAATTACAGGCCTCATCTTTTTAAGTGGGAGAACTTGCACAATTGGTGGCTGACTAAATACTTTTTCCCCCCACTGTATAATATATTTTGATTCGTTTAACACTTTTTTGGTTACTACATGATTCCATATGTGTTATTTCATAGTTTTTATGTCTTCACTATTATTATACAATGTACAATTTTTTTTACAAATAAAGACAAACCCTTGAATGAGTAGGTTGTGTACAAACGTTTGACTGGTTGTGTAAGATTCACACCCCTGAGTTAATACACGTTAGAACCACCTTTGGCGGCGATTATAGCTGTGAGTCTTTCTGGGTAAGTCTTAAGAGCTTTGCACACCTGGATTATACAATATGTGCCCATTTTTATTATTTTCAAAATGATTTAAGGTCAGTCAATTTGGTTGTTGATCATTGCTAGACAACCATTTTCAATTCTTTCCATAGATTTTCAAGCAGATTTAAGTCAAAACTGTAACTCGGCCACTCGGGAACGTTCATTGTCTTCTTGGGAAGCAACTCAAGTGTAGATTTGGCCTTGTGTTTTAGGTTATTCTCCTGCTGAAAGGTGAATTAATCTCAGTGTCTGGTGGAAATCAGATTGAACCAGGTTTTTCTCAAGGATTTTGCCGGTGCTTAGCTCCATTCCTTTTCTTTTTTATCCTGAAAAACTCCTCAGTCCTTAATGATTACAAGCATACCCATAACATGATGCAGCCACCACTATGCTTGAAAATATGGAGAGTGGTACTCAGTAATGTGTTGTACTGGTTTTGCCCTAAACATAACACTTTGTACTTAGGACAAAAAGTGAATTGCTTTGCCACATTTATTGCAGTGTTACTTTAGTGCCTTGCTGCAAACAGGATGCATGTTCTGGGATATTTTTGTTCTGTACAGGCTTCCTTTTCACTTTGTCAATTAGGATTAGTATTGTGGAGTAATTCCACTTTGACATTATGGGGTATTGTGTGTAGGCCAGTGACAAATCTAAATGTAATCCATTTTAAATTCAGGCTGTAACACAACAAAATGTGGAAAAAGTAAAGAGTTGTGAATACTTTCTGTAGGCACTGTAGCTATCCAGTGTAGTGAAATTCTAGCTAATAGCACAATTCATATTTTCATAATAATGCAGTTTCTGTTCTGCTGTGGTTAGTGCACTGCTCAAGCTGCAATATTATGGCATTGGCTAAATGTTAAAGTAGCGAGGCACAGTACCAGCTGTCAGATAGATACATGTGACTTCTGAGAACAGTCCCATAACTTTAGTGCCATACATCTTAATCAGCAAGCTGGCAAATTAGCTACCGCAATGGCCATTCAAACAAGCTAGCAGTAAGCTGCTAACTGGAGCAAGTTTGCTCAGCTCGTCAAGCATGGTTTGACGTAGTAGCCAGCCCAGTGTGTCATAGCTACGGAGAGTGGAGTGATTTTCAGAATTAGGAACTACTGTAGGTGGATGAACAAAATCACGATTTTTAGAGATTAGTTCCACGATTTGTAATACAGATGGGTCCTGGCAACTGCGTGTCACGTTAGAATGACGCCACCTGTCGGAAGACAATGGTGTGACCATTAGCTATGCTGTGAAATTGAATTGAAAACTATTGAATGAGTAGGCCTTTATCTTCTTAGACCCAGATACTGTGGGTGGCATTGAAATGTATTATGACGACGACCCCCTTGAACAGATTCGTTTTTCTTAATAAACTTGCAAAGAATTTGTGACAGGGAGCCGTATGCATGCTGTATGTGAACCGTGGGAGGCTTAAATACTAACTATTTCAGCTAACTCCTTGGCTTGAGCCACATTTTTCGTTAGTGCTCCATTATCAGAAAAATGTGTGGCTGTGAGGCTCTTTTAGTAGCCTCAGAGTTCCAGGAGAGTGGTTTTCTCCAGAATAGGCCAGGCAACAGCAGGAGCCTCAGTCACCTCAGCTTGGGACAACTCTATAAGAGCATGAGACCTAAGCCAACATCAGCTTTTACATAAACTATTTCAACAAAATTGCATCAGTGTCAGACCTTCATTTAGTGCAACACTGCCATTGAGGCAGAAGGGAAAATCCACCCATTGGTCCACCATGCGTTGTTTGATCAGCCATGGTAATGGTATGACATAACAAACTGCTCCATCCTCTCCCCCTGCCTCGCCCGCCAGGTCTGCCCCCCCCATGGTTCCGCATCGGGGATCAGGAGTTTGACGCCCTGCCCGCCCTGCTGGAGTTCTACAAGATCCACTACCTGGACACCACCACGCTGATCGAGCCCATCAGCAAGGCCAAGCATGCAGGCTTCGTGAGCTGTGCCGCCGCTGCATCGGGCGGCACCCCGCAGGAGGCAGAGTTTGTTCGCGCCCTCTTCGACTTCCCTGGCAACGACGAGGAGGACCTGCCCTTCCGCAAGGGTGACGTGCTGCGCGTGCTGGAGAAGCCTGAGGAGCAGTGGTGGAACGCGGCCAACCAAGAGGGCCGTCTCGGCATGATACCCGTGCCCTACGTAGAGAAGTACCGGCCCGCCTCGCCCACCTCCTTGGGGGCTCCGGCAGCAGGGAGGCCCGGCGGGGCAGGAGGAGTAGGCGGAGGACCGGCGGCTGTTGGAGGCAGCACTACCGACGGAGCAGCTCCCCAGCTGCCCCCGCCTCTGGGGGAGCCGGGCCAGTATGCCCAGCCCGTGGGCAACACACCCCTGCCCAACCTGCAGAACGGACCTGTCTACGCCCGTGCCATTCAGAAGAGGGTGCCCAATGCCTACGACAAGACGGCCCTCGCCTTGGAGGTATTAGTTTGCCCCCTTTATTCGCCTTCCTCTGTCCCCCTGTTCTCCACCCCTCTATGGCGCTCTGTCCCTCTTTTCTGTTTTATGTCATGTGCCTTATATCTTTTCTCTGCTCCAAGAGCCAGGGTGCTGCTTCTGCTGTAATTGCGTACTCTTGCCTGTAAGCATACATATGCACACGCAGGCAGGCACACTCGAACATACGTACGCACACATACACATGATGACATGCATAATGGCTTCATGCATAGTGTTTTCCCTAGATTTTCTTTCAAATTCTATCCAATCTATGTCTATATTCTAACCTGTGTGTGTGTTTGTGCAGGTCGGAGACATGGTAAAAGTGACCAAGATCAACGTGAACGGCCAGTGGGAGGGCGAGTGCAAGGGCAAGCATGGCCACTTTCCCTTCACGCATGTCCGGCTTCTGGACCACCAACACCCTGAGGACGAGAGCTGAGAGACAGACACACACAAACACATGCACTTAGTCTCACTCCTCACTTCACAAAATCCCTCCTCTGTGATCGTTTCTCACAGATGATAGAAAGTGCACACAAGCACACAGGATATACGGACTGCAGTGGTCAAGAGTTGCAACTTACCCGCTGTTGTTGCCAATGGCGCTGGGGTTCACTCCCTCCCCTCCTTATTTTGATGAAGTTCTCTCTTTCACATACACACATGGAATAGATTTTACACTTCCACCCCAGTATTGAAGTCCTGATACACTACACACACAGCAGCGTTTATGCCCCCTCTCCCATGTCATCTACAAAATCCTCCTTTACACACATACATGCACACACACAATTCAGACACTTGTGTATATGTGGCTTCTCTCACAGACTCATGGATCACCCTTTTGTAGTAACGGACTGTGAACTTGGGAGTGAGAAGAGTAGCCATCCTGACTCCTAATTTTGTGGAGACAGACGCTCACTGCGACTGAAACCCGACTATTGCTGCACTTCACAGACGGGACGAGTTACCACAGCACACTCCACTACTCACCACAGGGGCTCTAACCCAGCTCCTCTCTGCTACAAACCCCACACTACAAACCCCCAAGTCCTCTTTTTGTACTGAAATGAAAAATATTATGATAGAATTATGACAGGTACAGCAACTGACAAAATAAAGGAAGGACTTGAGTAAATGATGGATACAAAGTATATTGAAAGCAGGTGTGTTCACACAGTTGTGGTTCCTCAGCAATTCCTAAGCAATTAACATCCCATCGTGCTTAGGGTCATGTATAGAAATGCTGGGCAGGCCCAGTTGCCCATTATTTTGGCTAACATGGCTATGCCCCCATAGGATGACAATGCCCCCATCCACAGGGCATGAATAGTCACTTAATGGTTTGATGAGCTTGAAAACTATGTAAACCATATGACATGGCCATCTGTCACCAGATCTCAACCCAATTGTACACTTATGCGAGATTCTGGAGTGGCGCCTGAGACCACCATCACCAAAACACCAAATGATGAAATTTCTTGTGGAAGAATGGTGTCACATCCCTCCAATAGAGTTACATCCAGAAACTTGTAGAAGGCACAATGAATCTGTTCTGGCTCGTGGTGGCCCAACGCCCTATTAAGACACTGTTGTCATTTCCTTTTTTGGGGCAGTTACCTGTATATTATATATATATATATATCATTACATGCTAAATATGTTAAATGTTTTGTTTTTTCGTTGCCCTGTGTGTGATCAGACCGTCACGCCTTGTGTGGCCACTGTTATGTGTCTTTCTGAAACACTATGATGACTGTCTTGTCTAGGGAGGAAGTGGAGACATTCATTAGGACTGTCAGGTATGGGGCCTTCGTCCAGTCCACCTCATTGTTGTGAGAAATTGTCATATGAGGAGGGTATACAATGGCCAGACAATGACAGAAAAATTGAAATATACCAACACTGCCCTCTCTCCTCTTACTTTGATCTGCCCTAGTCCTCTCCTATCCTGTCAGTCTCCTCCTGTCTCATTCATTTGTTACATGGTCTGATCCATTTCCTCCCGGACGTCCCCTGTGCTAAAGACACTAGAGGCACCTGCAGAGTACAGTTATGTTTCAGTGTACATAAAGGCCTTTTTGGCAGATTGAACCTGTTAACGTCATATTTTAAATGATGCAGACTTAGTCCCCAGCACTGTGATGCAGAAGCGCACATTGTCACACTCGACAGAAAGCCGCAGCCTTAATCCTTTGGTGTCTCCTAGTTTCCCTCCCACGTAACAAACACACAGGACATACACATACACGTTTTTAAGTATACTGAATTCATTGTTTCTGTCAGCTACGTTTCAACTGGGAGCTCTGAGTTAGGTCTGGGTTGTGTTCAGTAGGGCACAATGTTGAATGTTTTTAAAAGTTTTGCAATACAAAACAATATTGAATGATTGTTATTGGACAGGTTCAGGTAGTACCTCCCCGTTTCGAAACCTTTCCTCCCAACTGAACACCACCCAGTTTATTTCCCTAGTGTCTCCCTTAGTACCAATGTATCATCCTCTCACCCAGTACCTACCCTCTGGGCTCAGCTTTGACACATCCAGCCACTGACATGCCAGATGCACCGCAGGATGCTAAACGTCCTCATAGGATGATGACACTACATTGCTAAAGGACTGTGTGGGTGAAAGGCAACTGATCAATCATAGTACCATGGGTGGGTGTATTGACCAATCGTAGGCACATGGGAGTGTTTTAGGCCAATTGTCATCATTTGGGGAGAGTCTGTTGATTTGTCCTTTCTACCTCGTCTGAATTGTTTTAATTGATGTTAATTTTCTTTCCAAAATAGGAAAATAACATGCCCTGAAGTGCCAGGCTCAGTTCATCAGTATTTTTGTGGAAATGTTGGTAGATTTGATTTCCTTTTCTTTCTTTTTTCTTTTTTTCTTTACCAACCGAACAATTCTAGCCAAAACACTCCTTACTCCCTCAACTATACCCTGTGGTATTATTGTGTAAATGTGCGTTGGGAATTAGCCAACTAGTTGCACAACTTTCCCAACAGTTTAAGAACCCCTATTCCTTCCAAGTCCAAGAAGCTGCAAGGCTTTTTAATAATACTAAGTAAGAGAGAGACTATTAATTACAAGCCCTGTGTAGAAGTTTTCTATGTTAAAGTTTACAAAGACACTACGGTTGCTCTATTGATGGCAGCACTGAGGGCAACCTGCATAACTTACGTTGACTGCAGCATTGTAGTATTTATGAGACAATGAACAGTAAAATGTGTCTGTAAAAGTTTGAATGGTTTTATGATCTGTATGTGATAGAGTTCAGTGATGGGAGGAGTAGTACGGCAAGAGGATGACACATTTGGTCCTCTGTAGCTCAGCTGGTAGAGCACGGCGCTTGTAACGCCAAGGTAGTGGGTTCGATCCCCGGGACCACCCATACACAAAAAATTCATGCACGCGTGACTGTAAGTCGCTTTGGATAAAAGCATCTGCTAAATGGCTTATTATTATTATTATTATGATTGAACTATGACATACTACAGAAAGCACCAGGGTCGTGTTCAGTAGGGTACAATGTAGCAAAATGTTTTGCAAAGGGGGTAAAAAATGTGTTCATATTGGTCAAGTTCAGGTTGTAGGCTACCTCCCAGTTTCACTATGTTTTATTGTTTTCTCCCTACTGAACCAGACCAGGATCACTGCTAGACCCAAAAACTCTTGTTGCCCCTGTGTAAGAATATTTCTAAGCGTTTTGTGAATTAAAAATTATGCAATCTGTAATTAGCAATGACAGAGAAAGACTTACACAAATAAATGAATGACTGAAACTCAAACTGAAAATATGACATTAAACTGCCTGACAGAGTTCCCCCATTGCACAACTTTGAATTATTTTTTAAAGTCAATACTACAGATTGGGAAGGGTGCTGTGGACCTCTCATTTTCCCTTTCTACTTTTCTTGAACTCTGTTGTCAATACTGTTTGGATTTCTTAAAAGGAAACAAATTATTGATGTGCTTCCGGTTGGTCTTTGGCTTTTAATGTTGTCCTCTGATATGGCACTGATGGGTATGTCTTTTACCATTATGTTCAAACTGTAAGAAGTTGTTGTACTTGTTTGGTTAACATTACTAAAATGTTATCGAACGTCTCCCATCAATGCCATTATGCAGTTGTTGTACATTGGGAAAACTGTTTGTTTGGTTAACATTGCTCAAATGTTCTTAAACATCTCCCACCAACACCATTCTGCAATGTGTTGCCAGTTGAGCCAGGTCCTGTTGTCTGTTGTACTTGCATGTTACATCCAGTGACACCTGTCTGTCATCCAACTCCATCTCAGGCTTGCCTTGAAGAGAAGAGACTGTCTCCATTTCATAGAGGGCCATGATCATATGATACTGATTTGTCTAGAGGAGTATAGGCCAGTCAGGTGAAGCAACTTTCGCCCTTGTACCAATGAATACTTGGATTTTAATGAGTGATTTAAAAATGGTGTCCTTCAAACATTTCTCAATGTTCAATCCCTTTTATGCACCTTATCTCTAATGTTGCCTCTGTTAGTGATCATAGTTTTTTTATGCCTCATCATTCATGCCAAACTGTTAATTCTCTTGTATTTTTGTACCAGGTAATTCCACAGATATTACACACTTTATGCCAAACAAAAACCATTTATTTCAAAGTTTAACAAACCATAACTATGCACAATGACTAATTTGAACAATTTACACAGTAAATTACCAAGAAAGAAAAAATATGTTTACTGGAAAAACTCTATTTAATTTAATATGCCATTTAGCAGACGCTTTTATCCAAAGCGACTTAGTCATGCGTGCATAATTTTTTTTTTTTGTGTATGGGTGGTCCCGGGGATCGAACCCACTACCCTGGCATTACAAGCGCCGTGATCTACCAGCTGAGCTACAGAGGACTCTACAAATGCAAAGTTAGGTAACAGAATTTTTATTCTGTTACCAAACTTTATATGTGCACAGTTCTTCCTGTAAATGTGTTTTTGTAAAAAATGTATAAGTAGTCATTGTGCATAGTTGTATGGTTAAACTTTTGAAATTAACGTTTTTTGTTTGGTTGAAAAATCTCAGCTTAATGCCATTACCATGAAATTGCCCTATCACAATTTTCCTTTTGTGTCATCCCTTTCCTTTTGAAGAGGACAGGAGTGGGTGAAAATAGAAATAATTGATTTTAAGATGTTCCATTGTGATATAACACTATCATTTGAAGTTGACATTTTACCGTTTATTTTCTGTAGCATGTAATGTGTTAATATTCTTAGTAAATAAAAACCTATTAGCAAATTGACACAGTTGTATATCTTAATTTGTGTTTGTCTCCATCCAACGCCTGACAGGCATTCTTAAATTGTATGATTTTTTTTGGTAACATATAGCCTATGTCTCTGCTGACTGTCGCAAATCAAAAGTGAAGTGATACAATGCACACTGAATGCTAGCTA